CTCTCATCTAGAATGTTATGCAAGGGTTTATTAGTCTATTACTCATGTTATTATTTAGCTACTCTATTTTGGTCGTTCGTTACTTAAGGGTGTTTTAGTCATTATCTATCTCTAGAGAAGTCTCTATTGGTTTCATAATTTTACGATGATATTGATTTCTTCTATTCACTTTTTGTATTATTTACTGGACCGATATCTGACTTAGGTTCAATACTGAGTAGGATACTCTAGTTACTCTTAATACGCTTTCCCTCAATTCACCTTTGAATTGAAGGGATAATTGTACATTCACCATTCGCTGACATTCTTGCATAAAACCACCCCTTTTCTTGCAAACAAAGAATCAAATAATTTGAATCATTAAAATGATATTACTGGAGGGATTATGAAGAAATTAAAGTATGAAAAAAGCTCAAGAAAATACCTTTGATCTATGGTACTTGGGTGGAAGAATATAGAATAAACGGTGGAGAAAGAAAAAAAAGAAAAAAAGAGAAATAAAGGGAAGAAGATGAAACAAGAGATAAAAAAACTCTCGTACTTTAAAATGGGGAATTGCTTTTGGTCACTTCTCATCTTTTTACCATTCAAGAATATTCTTTTTATGGATAATTGGGCTCAATTCTATCCTAATTAAGCTCAATGACTTAAATTTTGAAATACACGGGGTCCACATGCCTTTTCGGTAAACCCAAAACTACTAGCCCAAAATTTGAGGTGTTACAACTCTCATCTCCTTCAAAGAAGTTTACTCTTCGAAATTTGCTCAGATCGAAAAACAACTTACTCTTGGGTCTTAGAAGCTTCAAAGCATCTAAACCTTTATCACGTTTGGACCTCAAGGAAGAAGTCCTTGCAACATGACATGTAACTTAAAACTCGTAAAATCGATCTACAATTTTTCCTAAGGGTGCTACTAATGCCGAACATTAAACAACCTTCGAGAGGTCCAAGGTTAGATAATCCCATTTTTGTTGTCTATCACCAAATGTTTTAATCATTTCATAAGTATAAAGCTACCCCTGATCCAAAATATTATCATTGACCCCTTTCATTGGCTAACTCTACTAAATTGAGTTAATATACTATACAATTCTATAATCTATAATACTTGCTAAACTTAGGTAACTTGTCATGCTACACACCAAGATCTTATATGCACTTGTTATACACGATTCTGATGTTGACTACTGAAAATACGATGGTGATTCTCGACTTTCTAATGTCGATCTCTACACTTCTACTGTGCAACTTTGATTTAATACTCATTCATGCTACTTGACCGTTTATCATTTGCCTTACGGTTTACATACGCTATACTCATTGGATCGTGTATTTAAGGAACTTACAACTGAAAATTGGTTATTTACCTAGCAAAACTAGAAATATCTGGCTCTCATAGAGAGCACACCTCACAAAGCGGAGGCCTCTCGTAATTGTATTCTGACTTAAGGGTCCTGAGATCCTATGTCTTGTACTCACTATCACTTACCACCACTGAACTATCTGATGACAGATAACACTAGTCAAACGAAATTTAATGTACTTGGTCTCTTTTAGTCCCAAAACTAAAATCCATAGTACCTCACAACGTTGCATACTATTATGTGTTGTATATAGCTCATGCTCATATAACAACACGAAGATATCATGGTTGATGCTTGGCTCACCTAGCTAAATCATTTACTGTTCATGCATAAATACATACTGACGAAATCGGAGGGATCTTTGTACCTTGAGACTTGCAACTCACTACCTTACCTATAGTACCCTTAGTACTTAGAGTGGAATTATGAAATTGTTGCATTAGATCATACACCCTGCTAACTTACTCCTCGTGAGTACTTGGGCCATTTGCACCTAGTTAGCAACCGAAGTGCCTTAGCGCTAGATGAGACATATCCTAATGTTTTTTACAACAAGGTGATCTGCTTACTAGCTAGGACAGCTTGGGTATTCTTAACATCCTCATGGAAATTCTTATTCCATGATGAACTTGGGATTACTAAATATTTGTGGGTTGGTCACAATATCCCTCTTTTGGCATAGCAAAAACATCATTAAAGTTTTATATCTAAATTTGAAAACCCAAAAGGATGTTCCCCTAGGGAACACAAAAGGGTGGAGGATTCTGTGGCTTAACATTTTTATAGAGTTGTCTTTCAACTTAAGAAGGAACAACAACCTAATCTCCTATCTCTTGACCCGTAATCTTGAGGTCAAGGCAACACTTGTGCGAATAAGTTCCCTTATGTCAACTACTGAATCTAACCCAAGCCCTTAAAGAATATATAAGTTAACCTTGTCTATTCCACTAAGATCCACCTTTTAGCCACTTGCATTCCTCACTCTCGGATTCTCTACGCGAATACACTTCCTACCTAGTTTACTTGACATCACAAAAGAATACATTCACTCACATATACTGAAGCAATTTGAAAAATTGTGATGGTTAAAAACATACCTGACATCTCATCTATAGCACTAACGTCCTGACCCT